TTTTTTTTTTTTTTTTTTTGGGTCAAAGTGAAAAACAGTAAGTAGTCCATCAAGAATAAGCAAAATAAATAGTGCCAATAGAAAAACACAAAAAAAAATTTGAACATAGTTGATGCCCAATTACAAAGATCTAGCACAAAAGAGAAAAATTTTGATTTGAAAATAAACCATAGTCATCACCTGCATTGCACTTGTCATGCCAACATCGTAGGTCCACAACAACCAAGGATTAGTTGGTAACAAGATGTACTAAAGATTTGAACAGAAAATGGGTGATCAAGCCACCTACACAATATGCTCCCATAATTCAAGCAATGAGTTCAAAATGCAGTTTAAATGCATCTGCACACCACAATGTGTCACCAAGGAAGCACGATGGAAGCGACACCAGAATGAGGAGCAAAGGATGGTGGTTGAGCATTGGTTGTGAGATGCAACGACAAGTGATAGGTGGAGGACACCATAAAAAAGAGGGGATGAGGGGAGTGTATAAGTGAGAAGTGGAGGCTGAAAAACAATGTCAGTGGGTGGGGGAGAAAGTGTAGATTTAGGGTTTCTAGATTTGGGCAAAAATTAGGGGAAGATAATTTGAGGGTAACGAGAAAAAGGAGAGGGATTCGAAGAAGTAAAAGCCCCACATTTGAGACGTAGCTTAAGGAAAAACACCCATTATAGGTGGACATGAGCCATTGCCTCTCGATTTTGGCGTGGAGGAACAGGGCTCTCAAGGGTTAAACCCATAAATAGGGTCTAAACTATAACAACAGCAAAACTCTACATATTCGAACTCTAGGAAAAAAACTCATTTGACTTTTTAATGAGACCGAATATAGCATGCAAGCCTTAAAAAGCCTGAAAATTAAAACACTGCCACCAAAATTTAATTTAATTTAATCTAAAAATCATACCACAAGGATAGTATAAAATCAATTTATAAGTTATAGTGTTTATGTATAAAATCAAGGTTTGAAATGAGATTTATTATAAATTTCTAATTTTTTTTGAATCTTTTATTTAGTTCGGTGTATCTGGCATTTTTAGATGGCAAAAAGTTACTTTTGGTCCCTATGGTTTACCACTTTTACCTCTAAGGTCACTGTGGTTTCAATTTGATCATTTTTGCGCATGTGGATTTCAATCTAATCAATTCAAGGACAATCTCCAAATTCTGTCAAATAAAAGTAACTACCTTTACTTGTTGAGGGGCATTTCAGTCCAAAAAGGAAAAAAAAAAAAAAAAAAGGTGCGAGAAACCTTCACCTGCCCACCAGCTCACATCCAGCACCACACTCGCCCCCATCTCCCCAACCTAGCACAACCCCATAATATAAATTGAATTGAATATGTCTCATATATGTAAAGCACCAAGAAAATTCAGAAACAAGAACAAAAGAAAATAATTTAACAAAAGAAACCCAGTGGAGAAGACCCATGAATTTTCTCCCACAATTTCACCAACCAATCTGTACATGGCTATGGCTATCAAAAGAATAGAATCTCTTAACAATGTATGAAACAATCATAACCCATCATGAGAGTCCATGGCATGCAGTTCGCATATGATGCACAACTCTCGCTGTTTTGCGATTTCAGCCTTAACATGTCCCCTGGTTCGCGATGCCTTCTCATCAACGCCAATGAATTTGGTAATTGAAAACCATAATTTGTTTAACTGGTTTGGCATGGTAGGGTTGGTGGTGTGGCTGAGGGCTTCTCTCTTCTTTTTTTGGGACCAAAATGCCCCTCAACAAGTGGTGGAATTTATTCTAATTTGACAAAAATTGGAAATTATTATTGAATTGCTTAAATTGAAAACCACAAAAGCAAAAATAATCAAATTAAAACGACAAGGACCGTGATAAAAATGATAAACCATGAGGACTAAAAATGACATCTTACCTTTTTAAAATCGGAATCGGAATCAGAACTTGCAAGTTGCAACCTACTATACACGGCAAGAGACCGGACGACAAATTGTTGAGACAATCAATTGCACAAACCCCTAATTCCTAATTATCCTATTTGTTCGATAAAAAAACAAAAATCCTATTTGTGCAATTTTCCAAAAGGAAAAAATGTATTAGTTTGAAATGACTGTAGTGGCCAGACATAAGAGGCAGAGCAGAGAGTAAAATCAAGGGCATGAGATGGAAAAGCAAGTCAAAACTAGTGATAAAGGCAGCAGGCTTGCAGTAATAAGCTCTCACTTGGTTACTCCTCAAATCCCCATGGCTGCTGCTTCTGAGAAGGAGGCTGCTCTTGCGGCCGTACCCTCTGATTCTCCCACCATGTATTTTCCATGCCTTTTGCTTTCGCTTCTTTTTTTTTCTTCTTGTTTTTGTTTTTGGGTTCAGATTCTTCGTCTGTATTATCTTTTTAAGTTTTACAAATAACGTAATCTGTTTGATTAATTAATTTTTTTGCAGATTTGACAAGATCATCAACAAGGAAATACCATCTAAGGTGGTTTTTGAGGACGATAAGGTGCTCCCGTGTTTCTCTAGATTTTATTTTTATTTTTTATAATTTGTTTTTCGTATTTTCCGTCTCTGTTTAGTGAATTTTATTGAGCTTTCTCTTGTGTTGATTCATGCTAAAATCTTGCTGCTAACCGCATTCTGCTTTGGAGTACCACATCTATAAGTTTGGGGCTGAAAAATGCTAAAACAAAGAAGCTTCCATTTGTTCATGTTTATAAATTTCATGTGAAAATATTTATGATCCAATGGCTGAGATACATTTACCTAAATTTCTAATTAACTTAGCAATTTAATTGTATTTTTTTTTTATACAATATTATGTATATATTAGTATCTCTCTTCCTCTAAAAATTACCAATCTCGTTATGATTTTGTTAGTGAAGTTAATGGAATTGCATGTTTCAAAATATTTGGTGTACTTGAGTTCCCAATCCTGTCCTTATCACTATTCACAATAACTTTGCTCATAACTTAGGGGTTGCATGGTATGATTTCAGTTTATTTATTTATTTAAATAAATGAATAGGAAATATTTTGAGGGATATGAGAGATGAGAGAGAATAAAAAAGCTAAAACTAAAAAACATATATTTATAATTTCTTTTTAGTTTTTAGAATTCAAAATGTGCATACTATCTCGACTTACCTTTCGTATCTATAATCTCTGTTCACATTTTTCTATCATTGTTTTCTTCTTTACCCTTGATTGAAAACAAAAACAAGAAAACAAAGGAACAGAAATGTTACCAAATGGGCCCTTGAGAGCTGCAAATTGGGTAAATAGTGGATGCATATAGCTTATTTTCTGATACAAGGCCAAATCTTTTGAGGAGACCACCTAATTAATGTGATTAATGGAGATTCACTTGCTTCCTTAGGGCTGGGATGTATAATAATATATATATATATATATATATATAATTTATAGTATGTAAACATTCATTGAGATCTGTATGCTTACAATCTTGTTTAATCAAAGCTGTCTATCTTCATCAATGTGTTTTTAATATAGCCACCTTATTTCTGGGTGTTGTATTGATTTCACAGTACCCGTTTTCTGGTTATTCACCTCGCCCTTTTATTTGTTTTAAATAGGTCCTTGCTTTTAGGGACATTAATCCTCAAGCTCCGACACACATTTTGATCATTCCCAAAGTTAGAGATGGCTTAACTGGACTCTCTAAGGTACTTGCTACTGACCTTTCTTTTTTCCTTTCTGTTTATGGCTTTCCTTTTGCTCTCTTGTGATAATAAGCAATCCAAGGACAATGTTCACTTGAATTTTTTTTTCCCAAAAGAGGAGAAGCATCAACACTACTTTCTATGGTGTATTAGAGAAGTGGAAAACTAGTAGACTAGCCATAGCGGTTTGTGCTTGATGATTAACAATTTAATAGAAAAAAAATAAAAATACATTTGTGTGTGTTGTGGTAATAAATACAAATGGTTTATGTCAACTGTATATCAACCATATCCAAAAGTTTAAATGTTTACCTCACTAGGATGCAATTTTAGTTATGTGCGCATGTTGGACAATGTAAAGGCAAAGCCTGATGATGGTCAGTGTGAACTCGCATGCCTGTGGTCTAATCTCCAGAAAATCTCCTATAGAGAATCTTACAAAAGAAAACGCAAGGAAAAATAAAATAAAATTATGAAGTAAGTGAGCAATATCATAGTTAGACTATGAGAGGAAAACAATGTGGTTTTAACAAAACTGTCTTTTCGGATGTTTTTCGCATAGATGTGCTTCTTTGTTGTGTTAGTGGTTTCTGTTTTTGGAGGGTAGAAGGGAGTGGTTCTTGTGACGTGTGTTGCCTGTTTTTGGGTAGTTTAGGTGGAAAAGAGAGGACTTTTAACATTGCTAAGGGAAAGAAGGTGGATATTTTATGGGTGTGGTGTCTCCAGATTTTAAGGACTACTCTTAATCTGTTATGCTATCTTCTTGGATAGCTGTCTTGTCTTGGACTATTGGTGTGGTAGTCTGATCTTTAATTGTAGCTTGGTGGCTGTTTTAAATCATACAGTTTAGGGTGAAGTTCTGGGATACAGTTATGGGATAGAATGAAGTTCTGGGCTGCCCTTTGGGCATCAACTTCCCCTGATTTTAAGGATTTATCCTATCCAACAATTATGCGCAGTCTGCTGGTTGTAGTATCTTAAGGGGTAGTCTTTTGATTGGCTGTTTTGTTTTCTGTGTTGCATAGCCTTGCATTTGTTTCACTGGCTATTGCTTCTTTGTTTTTGTCTGTGTTCTATTTGTCCCCTCTTTTGGTCCTTTCTAATTTTGAATACAAAATGTTTCTTTTTAAAAAAAAAAATCATACAGTTTGCTAGTCTGACTGTTGGTCCAGAGGACTTCTTGTCATCTAATTCTTTTTCTCTTTCTTCATTTAATGAAAGTGTGTGTGTTTTTGATCAAAAAAGAAAATGTTATAACCAATGAAGAGAATACTCTGCTTGGATTTCATAGGACCTGACTAGAGTGAATCAAAATGATTAATGCAAGTACAACAAAACAAACAATCAAACCCAGACCTGTTAATCCATTTCCATTTCTGTATTAAGAACCAATTGCTATTTAGCATACAAGATTACTTCACAATATGGCAGACATTCAGTGAAGTAATCTAGTAAGCGACTTGTTCAACACCCACAGTGCCAGAACACTAATTATGATCTTGACCACCCCAATGGTTGTGACAAGCCAATCTATATAAATTAGCTATCACAGTCAATCACATGGTTTTTCCAATTCTACTATCAATGTGAATTGAGATTTGTGTGGAAGGAATCTGTGATGCTTGCTGTGCGCTCCTAATGGTATGGACCATGAATTTCTGAAGCCGAAGACCTTTTTTGCTGCAAAATGTTCAGTCTCCACAGTAGAATTAGCAACCGAAGTTTACTTCACACTCGTTCAACTCACGGCGCCTCCTGGAATCTTGATTCGACTGGAAGTCAGAAAGTATAGCCAACTAGTATTATATCCTCACATACATAGATGAGCATGTAATCTTTGGTTCTCAATTGTTTCTGGATATGCTCCACTGCCCTTCAATGCTCAGAATCTAGGTTAGATAAATAACAATTAAACCAAAGCTAGAACCCGTAGTCACCTGTTCTTCCCATGTCTTTGGACAATAGTTCCCATGTCTTTGGACAATAGTCCTTGAAAAGAGAAATTTTTGAAGGGTATGCTGATTGTGGTTGAGCTTAATATATTTTTCTTGTGATTGTACCAGAACTTCATCACAAGGAGATAATTGGCCTTTTACTATGAGTGGGAAATTGTAAAAACTTCACTTTCTTTCGCCATGCTTTACCCTCCAATGTTCAAGATTTTGGTAGACTGATAGTGATTAACTGTACCTATGACACAACAAATATCTAGTTCAGTGCAAAGCATGACATGCATAAGGCTTCTGGCGTCCTGCCAAAGTGTAAGAAATCTTTCTCAGATGCTCCTCTTCTTCTTGTCTCTGGGCACTGGTCCAAAAGGAAATCCTCTGAAGGATTTTTTTTATAAAAAAAGTCTTGTACTCATGCATAGCAAACCTGATTTATGTATGATGATTTTGATAGGGTTAATATCCTTTTCATGTGATCTTGCTAGAGTTTCATCCCAAGGGCATAGCTAGAATTTTAATATGATGGGGAATCATGCCTCATTCATAGTGGGAAATAGGAAAAACCGTAATTTCTTTCTCTATGAACTTGCCAAAGCTCACAAAGTAGCTCTTTTATAGGGGTTTTTGATACATGAATCATTGAAAGATCCAATTTAGTTGTTTATATGCTTAAGGAATAACAAAAGACATAATTCAACACCTAAGACATTGATCATGTGAAATAAAGAGATTCAGAGATAATGGATAATCGGGCTTCGAAGTAATGGACCTAAAAATACATGTGTAAAATTGCCTTAGTTACATGAGAAGTACAAAGACTCCCAATCCTGTGGTGCTTGGTACTTGTATCATACTTTGAACTATGCTCCAGCATCACCATCCATACTTTGATATATTGTTGTCGTAATATCATATTTGTATGTGACTGAGGGTTTTACAAAATAATGTTATCTAGTAGAAGAATTTGTGCATGGGCCACTTAGTGGTTCTGAGGAGCTGTATTTTGAAAGAGTCGGGTGATTTTAGAAGTTATATGTAAATTGAAAAGAAGAATAGATATGTCAAGATTTTGACTGCGGTAAGCTTCTTGCAGCATCACTTCAAACAGTTGGAAACGCCATTAGCAAGGTTTGGTTTTACTGAAATATTAGAATAAGATGAAATGTGAGATAAAATGGGATGTTTAGGGGATATTAACGTTTCCTTTCATGGATATAAGGAACCTATCATTTCCTTCACTTCCCCTTTACAATAAGTGGTATTTTTTATATGAGTATATGCTCATTTAGCCTTGTAATTCATCAGTTCATAATTGACAGATTACACTCTGTTGTGGAACTTAATGTACTTTTTTGCTAAATTTTATGTTTTCCAGGCAGAGGAGAGACACACTGAAATTCTTGGTCAGCTTCTCTACACTGCCAAGCTGATTGCCAAGCAGGAAGGTCTTGATGATGGCTTCAGGATTGTGATTAATGATGGGCCAAATGGATGTGCGTATTTATTCTTTCTTTACTTTTAAGTGCTTGGGATTGGTGACATATCATTAAGTCTTTATCATCAAACTCTTGTGCTTTCTCAGTGTAAATTTTTTAAACTTTATATTGGCTTATGTGTGTTCCTGCAGGCCAATCCGTTTATCACCTTCATGTTCATCTCCTTGGAGGACGTCAATTGAACTGGCCTCCAGGCTAATGCGGAGACGTGCTCGGATGTTTTGCGAGATTTCCACTGGAAGTCTGTATTGGCATGAAACTAGTAGTTTATTGATTGGAGATCTCGAAACAGTTGTGAACTTGTGGTAGTTGGTAAAAACCTTATTTCTTAAACCATACCATGTATAAGTAATAATCTTGCCCGTTACCGATGGCTTGGTTGTCACATTTGAGGTTTTATCATTTCTGTCATGAACGTCGAAATTGGTTTCGATGGAAAGACGATATTGATATTCCAGTGAGCTCTAGCTCCTAGTTCAGTGTTGCTATTTACTGCATATATGCATTGTGCCTGAAAACTTGCCAAATGACATACAAGCCTCCGCCAATTATTTTGAACCAACAACATCCAAAATAAACACTTGTTTACCACTCAAAGACAATTCACACTCTACCTTGCCTTACAGAAAAAAAAAAAAGGGAGTTTCACTAAAACACTCAAAATGGGGGTTGAAATTATAAAAAAACTCAAGCACTATTTAAATATATAAACACACCCAAAACCCATGATTACACACACTCAAAACTCATTCATAAACACACCCAAAAAGTTGACTTTGGAGTTGATTTTGGGTGTGTTTCTATGTTTAAATAGTGCTTGGGTTTTTTTATAAATACATGTCTAAGATTGAGTTTATTTATAAATTTGTAAAAAAATAATCTACCTATGTGCGTTAAAAATTTATCAAACACGTATGATTAGATATGGTCCGGCTTGGCAATGCCTAAACTGTTAACCGAATCGGTCCGAATCGATCTAGTTAAGTTTTTTTTCCGGCTTGGTTCACCGTTTCAAATGCCCACTCCTATCATGATTGATCAAGTTGAAGCAATTGGACAAATTAATTTTGTAGTGACACGCGAGGACAGAGAGTGTTATTATGTATAAATATTTAAATGCTCTAGGCTGTTGGAAGAGAAGAGGGAATTAATAATGGAGAGGTCAAGAGTATGGAGAGGTGTCAGTGGAAGCAGCAGCAGCAGCAGCAGCATATTTGAGAAGAGCCGATGCCACCTGAGAGACACAGATGATGCAAATTCTTTCTGGTCGAATCTGAGACCAAATGTTGACCATGGTCAACAACAACAGCATGCTCATCCTCACGTAGCTGACGTGGATTCGAAAACTCCTCCTCCTCCTCCTCCTCCTTGCACTGATGATCAAGAAATAAGCGTTTTTGACGCCCACAAGTACTTGAACAATGAATTAAGCATCATCAATGACATCGACACCCAAAAGGTAATAACAAATATTTATAAGTAAATTAATTTGTATTCAAAAAATTATATGTACCGCATGCATGCAGGTTTCTGGTGAAACAGTTTCGAGATTTTCTTGGGCCGCAGGTTCTTCAATATCTGCAGTTGATGATGCTGATAATATTAGTTATAGTAGCGTCGGTAGAAATAACTACCCGCGAGGTCGTTCTTTCCACGTGGTTGCTGCCTCTGCCACTGCCGCCACCACTCCAACGGCTTCTTCGGAGGCCAGCTGGAACAGCCAGACTGGCCTCTTATCTCATCCTCGTGGTCCGGCCGGCGCAGCCAACATCACATTCATGACGTCATTGCGTAGTCGCAGTGCTGCTAATCATAATGCTGCTCCTCATCCTCGTCACGACAATGTGAAGGAGGAGAAGGAGATGAAGAAGAAATTGGGTGTACGATGGTACAGTATTTTCCCAATGAGAAGATCAAGGAGATGCCCTTGCTCCGGCAAGAAATCGGTTCGAGTTGTTGATCCCGAGACTAAATCATCAATTCCAAACATGTCATCATCAGTCAGTCGAGTCGGAGTCGGAGTTGGAGAGAGTATTACCATTAATAACGGCAATATGGCAACCACCAATGTTGTTACAGCCCGCGATTTGAACTCTTCCTTAATCGTGCCGCCGATCGACAACCGTCGTCATCCAGTGTGGCCCGGTCCAGAACGGCGTTGTCCGGAGTGGAATGAGCACCAACAGATCACTGCTAACAATATGCCTAGGCCTACTACTACTGGTGGTGGGTTTAGCTTTCCTATATTGAAAGTGAATGGGATTGGAGGCACATCCACGTCATCGCCAGTTGTCTCAACCATATTCCAGAACCCACCAAATCCTACTTTCACATTCCCTTCTTCAACTCCCAAACCCCCAATTAACATTCTTAATAATAATATTAATCCCAAAAATCATCATCATAATAATATTGATGATGACGTGGCAAGCGATGCTAGTTCTGATTTGTTCGAGATCGAGAGCTTCTCTACTACTTATGCTCAAGCACAAGATTACTCTCGCACCCGCCGGGAGTCGTTGGATGAGGAGGATGCAATCGGCAGCGGTCGACGCCGTTTGGGTGCCGATATCAACTCGGTAACCGATGGCCAGGATTCAATCACGGCAACCGATCAATACTGCTACGAGCCGAGCGAGGCCAGCATCGACTGGAGCGTCACCACGGCTGAGGGCTTCGACCGATCATCCGATCATCATCATCATCATCATCAAGATCATGATCGTGACGTTGCTGACGTGGCACAAATTATGAAAGTGAGCAGCGGCAAAGGGAACAATATTGGGTTGTTGAGCTGTCGACGTGAGAAGGCGGTTAGTGTGGGGCCTAACCCAGTGAGATTGGTCATCATGCCTCCTGCTGCAGCACCTGATCAGAATCGACATACGGGTGGAGGAGCAGGACCCACCAAAGTACTACCACCATCGTCAAATTCCAGGATCAGGCATGTGGGGAGTAGGCCAGGCTTAGCCAACAATAATAAGCCACCGCTTGCAGCTCGGATGTCTGCTCCTTTTGCAACATCCGCACAGCCAGTCATCTGATCATCAATCATCAGTCGTATTGGAGAACCAACTTGCATGTCACGGAAAAATACTATTTTGTTATTTTCATCAAATGGAAATTCTTATTATATATTATTAAATATAATTTTATAAAAATAACAAATAATGTTATCCCCGCGATGTACAAGTTTTTCTCATCATATATTTTACATGCATTGCATTGGATGCTTCTCTTATCTATAAATTCATCCTGTAAACTCTAAAGCCAGCATCTCTCTCGTCTTTATTCTCTTTTTCCACGTTTTCCCTTTTTCTCTTTTTGTAATCGTGTTGGTTTATTATTGATTTCATCTCTTTTTTTTTCAATTTTAATTTTGTGTGCATGTGTTCTTCTCTTGCATGATGATTGGGTTGTTATGGGTCGTATTGTCTCTGCCTCTTTTTATTGTTATATTAATTTCTTTTTTGTATACGCAGCGAGGGCGGAGCTATTCATAGGCCTGAGATGGCCTGGCCCCCCACCATCTTCTCACCTCTTTGACTATATAAAGAGTGTAGTATAGATTGCACAAAAAATCCCATAGTTTTAAGCTTGTGGCCCCTCCAAATATCAAACTCTACCTCCGCCACTGTACGCAGCACATGCATAATTGAACCCCCGAAAAAAAAAAAACAAAAACAAAAAAAGTGGAACTTGAGATGTCTTCAAGATTGTGGTTTTCCTTACTAGATTTCATTGTTTTTCCTCGTTCATATGTTTCCCTATGCGACTCTATTTTGAGTGTTAAATCTACCTTCAATATATTCAACTAAAAGTAAGAATGAATAAGCAATTAACGTCCGCATATACACGAACAGATAATGGTTGTAAGTTTATTTTTATTTTTATTTTTATACAAATATTTTTAACTTTGGGTACACATGTCTAAACTTTCAAAATATTGGAAGATATTTTATGTTTCACTGCTGTCATAGGGAATTATCAAAAGACATTTTCTTCTATTTCCGAGACCCATTGTTTGATAATTAAGCTAACCTAATTTCTAGACCAACTTAATCCAAATTTTACTAGCAAATCCACGAATCATGTAATAGTACAACAAGTGAATACGAAATCATTCCCACATATATTGAATTTAATGCTTTAATTCTATTAGTTAACTTGCCAACAGGGTCTAGCCTAGTGGAAAAGAGCCTTGACTTGGTCTCAGGTTCAAACCCCCATGACATCTTAGTTGTGTGCGTGTGTGTGAAAAACTCTCTCCTCTGTAGTTTAGATTACCAATTGTTTGGAATGTATTTTTTAGGTGGAAGATAATAGGAAGGGGATCCTCAAGGAGAATCAACAAGCGATGTTCGCAAACTATGTAGAAGTCAAATAAACAGCTCTTGGATAAGGAGGTACTGGCTTGGGACTTAGTATTGTTCATCCTCTGGTAAGTAAGATATATAAATTCCATTTACTTGTTTAAGAATATCTTGAATATAAGGCATGCGTTGTTTGGTTTGTTTTGGTACATGATTTATCATGTTATTCACCCAATGTTTTGAGGTAGTTCTTGATCTTTTATAGCATTTTACTTCCTTTTTGTGTTATAGGTTTTACTCTAGTTGGAATGTGTTGAGGCCCAAAAATTTAAGGGGCTAAGCCCAGATCAATTCTTGGCTCAATACAGATAATTGAACACAAAAGAAGCTCAATCGGGCCAAAAGAGAGTTTGTAGGACTCAACAATACGAGCTACGGGCCACATATCATGCCAAGCAAGCACCTGCAAAAGGGCCAAGAGCATGCCAACTTTACAAAAATCACGCTCACATGCCCATTCGATGTTACTTGGCCCAATTATAGCCTATCACAGCATAATAAAACCCAAGCACAAACATAGGTATCGTGCAAAGAAGAGCAACTATTCTAACACCAAGCTATGCCACAAGCTTAAGTGGGCCCAAGTCACAAAATTACCTTAGGCTTATTGAGAAGATTGTGGTATGGAAGGAAACAACCAATCACAGGACCCATTGAGGGTTCGGGGAATGAAAGTTTTAAAGCCACTTGGGAGCATTAAAACTCAAGCTCATTCCTCGGACCCAAATACATGGGTTAGCATGAGAGAAAGGGGAAAAATGGTCCAATGTCTTAGGAAGACATTTAGTAGCCTGCATACTTAGATAAGCCAACATCAAAAGAATGCCCAAAATTAATAAAGCCACTTCCAGCAGCTTGACGAAAAGCCTATTAAACGCTGGAAATAACAAGCCAAATGACCCAAAACCGTGCATACAAGCCCAGCCCAACAACTTATAAAAATATGGCACCAAGTTCCACCTTTGTTAGAACTCCAAGAACGGTCAACAAAGGAGCCATGGTAGAGACCAAAGGAAACCTACGAGGGTAGGATGAATATCCATCGGACAAAAGGCTCCACCCATCTTCTTTTCCATTACAAGCTTCATTTTGAAAACCAAGAGGAAAAGTAGGTGGTGCCTCACCCTTATGGGGAGGTCTAGCTGCGTCAAACCCTTGGAACCACAAAGGGTTCCTTACCCATGCACCTTGGATATGAGAATTTCACCAAAATAGGATTAAGTGGGGAGCAGCCAAAGGAAAAGGAAGAAGAAGATTAGATGAAATTAAGGTTCTTCGTGCCTATAAAAGGGGGCCTCTTCTACCCAACGAAATCACCATTAAGTGAGTTTTTGGTTATATTTGAAAGTTTTTTTAAAAAACTGACATTTATGAATTTGAGGGTTAAATTTTGGCTATTTTTGATAAAAACTCTCGTAGATGCTCCTGCATCAAACTCCAACGAGAAATAGCACGTCCTACCTAGTCATCAACACCATGGTGGCCACCATCCTCACCACAACATCTACAAACTATCATAAAGCCGGGGCCAACTTTTGCACCCTTTGGGACATAATTGGTGTACGGGCAAAATGCAGACGGGTGATCCTGCTTCAAACACATCTTACATTGATGCTGAATAAATTAACAAGGTTTTCCTAGCACAATAAGCATAACAAAAACTTAAAAACAAGTCAATTACAAGCTAGAAAGCAGTCCACGCTGTTCAATTAACACAAGAGTCTCAACTTTGCACATATTGAATGAAAAATTAACGCATCAGAGACCCAGTTAATCATATAAAAAGATAGGGGGCATAGTGAACACACAGGCTAATGCCATACAAAAACTTCCACAATTGAATTGCAGTAATCCAATTCCACCCATCAATTTGTTCATATTCTCATTCCACAAGTTTTTAAGAGGATGGTGAGAGTATACATTGGGTTAAAGTGGTGAGCAAAAATGCTCCCGGAACAAAATGGATCCTAGAAGGTATGTATCAATTCCAATCCAAGTTCCAACAGTCCTCTGTCGTTGAGTTTCTTGGAGGATTACCAAGCACTCACCGTCCTACCCCTATCTTGGAGGTTGGTGTCTGTTCAGTAGACTCACTACGATTGTTGGGAGACTTGGGACTTAGTATCAAAATTTTTTGTAAAGTTAATTTCTGAAGCACCCCGTGAACGGAGAGACGTTGATGAAGCAGGATAGTTTGAACAGCGTTGATGAGCAGCCAGGCGTTGCACCAGGTTGATCCATTATTAAGCATTGAAAACTTAAACTAACAAGCAAAATAAATTTATCACAAAAAAAAAAAAAGATAAAAAAAGGCGAAATAAATAGATTTAAGATGTAACCACATGCAAAATCCATCTCATAGCATTTATGGGGAGTTGAAATTACATGCTACTTATACACTAAAAAGGGGGAAAATCATAAATTGTATAATTACAAATGGATTGCATGTCTATTTACGAGGTATACATAACATGGTTTCTAATTACTCGCACAAGCTTCATGAAATACTACCGACAATTCGGACTCCTATTGTTTTGAACCACACAAGGGATCTAACTCCATTGACGCTTTCTGTGCAGCATCACCATCTCTCTCTTTAAACTCTGTTTGCAAGTTGAATCCAAATCCACCGTCACTTCCATACAAGTCTCGATCCCATTGACCGACAAATTCATTCTTTTGGTCAGCTTTTGGAGGCACATTAGATGTGGTGCAACCATCTGGCAACCCATCATCCACCCTTTGTTTCTTTCGCGGAGATGAGGGCATGGCAGATGCATCGCCCGCTGTCTCCAACTGAGATGACTTCTGCTTATCCTCCGCTGATGGCAATACATCAGATCCTTTGAGAACGCCACCAAGTTTCTCCTGCTCCTCAATGATCTTCTGCAAGTATTTACCCTGAGCTTCTATTCTCATCTGCAACTGCCTTTGAACCTGAATTTGTATTCAAATATATTAGCAAACTTTTAATATAGCCAACACAAGTATAGCCAATCAAAATGCACAGGCATAGACCAGAAGAAAGTGACAAATAACAATAACAATAAAGTGCACACACAAGAACAGACACAAGCTTTCGCCATATTAAATGCGCCTGCGTTCTAAACTAAGAGGATCGGGTCCAGGAACAGTTCCAGAATCATGCACCACACTCAAAATGAACAAGCAACACAATAATGTGTTCTGTGAAAAAAACAGAAGAAAACATGGATATTTGCAATTATCCACCCACCAACTTTCCCATCCCTACAAAATATCTTTTAAGAAAAAACCACTAGTACTCAACCCACCAACAAATATTCCCAAAACACTCCTACAAACCATTACTACTTAACCAGTTGCTAGCCTCCAGTGTTGCCATATTACCACCCAGGCCATGGCAGCGTTTTCAACATCACTATTAGCAGAAATTTAAAGTTTCCCTTTCAGTTTTTGAATAAATTTTTTATACTTCCAATATATCTGAAATCCTAGTGACCTGTGTGCAAGAAGATTTTTCAGGCTATATTACTCTTTCAGCAATTTAAGGCAAGGTGAGGGCAAGAGACCTTACCTCAAGCTGTTCATGAAGACGCTTCTGAACTTCCATCTGCATCCTCAATGCCTCATTAATTTGGACTCCACTGAAGAATTTAAAGATTCTAATTAGATGCAGATCATTAATATAATAATAAGACACAGGACT